TGACACAAAGTGGTATTTTACACTTCGCTGCCTGCTCCCCGCTGCCTTCCATGAGCATCAACAGCCTCAGCCCTGACCCCTGTGTATTTCTTCCATTTATTTCTTATGTTCCCTATTACCTGTAGCCAGCTGCCTGGACTAATTACACCGCTCTTTACAGCCCCCTGGGGCAGGCGGAGTTGGTGTCTGTGCGTTGCAGTGTGTAAATCAAGTTTGCATTTCTTCACCTTTTTTCCACGGTCTAGTCTTTCCTCATTTCCTTTTAATGAGGCAGTGGAGAATAGTCAGCGTGTTGTGCTGTCACCTTTGCCAATGTTTAATTGTATTTGGCTTCGTGGTGTCAGCCATTGCCTCGCAAAATCCGTGCAGATATCCTCAAATTCCCATCGTTGGGGAAGAGGGGTCTGTAACACCTTCCAACAAGAAGAGCAAGAAATGCACATCTGAAGCAATGCAAGTAAAGCCAAACAGAAAATGTCAAAGGTAAAGTTACTGTTTAAAAAACTGCAATTCCAAAGGGTGATCCTTCGGGACTGCAGTTTGCAGTGGACAAGTAGTGCTTGTAAATTACAGTTCCAACACTTTTTTTTTTTGGAAATATTGAAGCTGTGTTCCTTCCTGGCCTCTTAACTCTTTTCTGTGCAATACTAAGAAAGGGGGGAGACTTCTCCCTGCGTTAGTCTTCTCATTCCTTTATTCAAAGTTGGAAAGTTACAGAAAGAGGAAAAAAAAAAAAAACACAAAAACAAAAAAAACCCAACAGAAAAGGTAACTAAAATCCTGATGCGTTCTGTTGCATTCACTGATAACAAGGGGGTAACAAGGCAGAGGTTTAATGTTTCAGTGTAACTGGAGTTAAGCAAAAACACTGTGCATTTTCTGCTTAAAAGGTGAGAAGATTTAGTGGGGAATTTTTAACATAAAATAACTGGGTTTGCAAACTGTTAAACTAAACATTAAATCTTAAAATGAAATCAGCTTTGTTTACTGACTGTCATCTTCTCCAGTAATTGCTCAAAGATGTTTCAGCCCCCTTGGTTACTCGCTGTCAGTTCAAGTTTACAGCCACCTGCAGTGGATGCACCTCTTCCTAATCTTAATTTTATAAAGGCCACGATTCTTGTTGATGCCTGTTCTAAAAATAAGTGTTGAACTTGTAGCTACTTGAAGAATTCTTGTTTTAAACTCTGCTTCCAAATGCTCTGTGACTTACCACCAGAATGACGGGCGATTCAGCATGCTCTTGTGTGTTTTACCTCTTAAATCGAATGCCCTTAAAAGGCTGCCTTAAACCGAGAAATAGCTGCATATTCTGTAGATGCAATAGGTCAGGCAGTGCAGGAGGGGGAAAAAAAAGCAACTTCATTGTTGTGCTTTGGATAGAAACTAGCAGCAAAGCACACTTGTCAGTCTTCTGTGATTTGTTGTAATACGCTGGACCACAGAAGGTGCCAAATCAATGCATGTTCCCTATAGGAGTGTTTCTACTTGGTTAACCAGGTTAAACCACTTAGCTCTTATTTTATTATCTCATTAGCAATCAAAACCCCATGTTTAGGGCTCTGAGTCGATGTAGTTACACGGACAGCCCTTGAAATTTGCCAGAATCCCCTGGACTCCACTAATTCTAATTGAAGTTGGCACAAATTTGAAATGCAGGCAGCGATAAGCTGTTCTAAGTCTTGGAGCATTGTGGAGCAGAATGTGAAATGCTTATTATATGAGGTTATTTGATCAGATTTAACCATTTTAGGGCAAAGATAATTTTGCTAGGGAGCTGAAAAATCGGTCCACGCGATGATGTGCGTTCCTCTACAAATCAGTATGAGGTGCGAGTGTAATTGCACGTGAACTTGGGGTGCTGAGCAGCAGGCCTTGTCCGGTGTTCATGGAAATGATCACTTGAGTCCTTTCAGTCTTCAGTTTTCTGTGAAATTAAGATGAATTTTGTAAATGTAGGCTTGTCCTGGCTGTTGGCTGATTTTGCAGACAGGAGCAGACCCCAGCCTTCATCCCGACTCCTTCGCCATTCCCTACCCCTTGTCTTTGTCTCCATTTCTCCAGCTCATGTAGGCCTGGTATGATACACTTTGCCAGGAGCCCTCCTCCCTTCCTCCTGTGGATGATGCTGATTGCTAATGGTTTGTTTATATCCTGAGAGCAATGATTGTATTTTCTGCTTTTAGAGATTTGCGCTTCAACCACATCAAGGAGATACAACCCGGAGCCTTCAGAAGACTGAAGAACCTCAACACGCTGTAAGTTCCAGTCCGTGATCCTGCAGTGAGGTTATCTGTTTATTACTTGTGTTAGTGCTGTCCCCTATAATGGCTTAAAGATGGCCTTGATCTTTTAGGTATTTCAGCCAAGCTGTGCATATCCAGCTAAAGCTTTAAAATTCTCCGTGTCCTAGATCGTGTTTCTTACCTTTTTAATGAACTATGCTGTTTCCTAACTCTCATTTTTCACAATTAACTTGTCTTTTTAAAAAAAGTTTTAAAATCCTGATGCTGTCGCTGCCTGAGGATGTTTCAGCAGGTATGGCCTTAGAGTAGCCCGTAAAAGCCGTTCTGGCCTGGGATCAAGACAGCAGAGGGATGTGTTAAAAGCTTCTTCCTTTCCATGGCCTCCTTAACTGCACAAACCCCGTTAGTTGCTCTACGTGAGTTTGGCTGAAGTGAGAGTGCGTCCTTCCGATGGCCCTCTTGTCCCCGTGCCTTGCCCTGGAATAAAGGCCTACCCCTACCCTGCTGCAGGTAGGAATGGGAGTAGAAAGCGATTCCTTTAGTCTTGCATCCCAGCCAGAGCAGGCACGCTCCCGTCAGTGTGATATACTGCTCTGCTCGCAAGTTTCTCGCTCTGCTCAAAGGCAATCGTGGGAGCCTTTGCTGCTTCTTGCTGCTGTAAGGCTGAGGGTTTGAAGAGAGATATGAGTACATCTGCGCCGTGTAGCCAAGAAGCTGAAAACAAACCAGCTCCCAAATCAGGAACAGAAGCTGTGTCAGCACGGCACTGTGCTGGATGTAATTGGCCTGTTGAGACTCAGATCTGATTATTCGAGCTGCAACACGGCGCTAACAGCTCTAAGATTTCCAGGTCCAAGCTCAAATCTGTCTGTGAGGCAAACCGGCTCGCTTGGGAACCCGTGCTGCACAGCAGCCGCGCTCAGGTTTCCTGGGTTCGTACATTCACGGTCCCAAATGGCAAGGGGAAGTCCAGATGGTGGGGTTGTTTTTTCCCTGTCTGACCTTGAGAGATCTGGAGTCCCTGATCCTGTAAAGATGGCAATGCTGAAAGAAGGAAGACTTGGGCAATAAGGCATTCAGTCAACTGTGAGAAGTTGTAGGAAGAGTGGGAATACAGCAGGACATTATCACAGACCCCTGTTCAATAACTATCTATTGGGGGGAAAAAAAAAAATCACCTTTTGCTAGAGATGGTGTGTGGGAACCATGGCTGCAGGATGCTTCAGAGTGCCCTGGTGGTGGCCCAGGCCCCTGCTCATAGGACAGCTGCTGGACTAGTAGACTGGTAGAAAACTGTATTGCCGATGATCATGTTCCTCCAGAGCACAAGAACAGCCCGTGTTAGTCTCCCAAACAGCACCACGTGGTACTTGATTACCAAAAATAGTAGAGAGAAAGGATACTTTGGATGGATTTCTGTCATTTGAGATAGGGTCGGATAAGGTGATAAACGTGACTAAAATATCAAGAGAGAAAATAGCGTCTGGGTCCGTAGGGTTTTACCTCCTCGCAAAGCTCTGCTGAGGCATCTTGATCTCCAGACCTGCTCTTCCACGTCTGAAGCTCTCCTGAGTCGAGAAAAACTGTTCCAAATTATGTCATCTGTGTGTGATGCAGACAGATGTTTGGCAGGCAGCTCGGCAGGACCGCCAGGCTAGTTTCAGCCGAACCCTGGGGAAGCTAAGGGTGCTGGCAGGCCTTCACTTGGAGAGACGCTCCGCCCGACCTGTGGAGTTTTATAAGAGATCCCAGTTCCTGCCCTGGCAGTGCCTTGGTCTAGGCAGGTCCGTGACATCTGCAGGACTTCTGCCTCTTTCTTTCTGACTCTGCCACTCTGCGTAAAGCCAGATGTAGATACGAAGCCTGGCTGAGATAGGAATACCTGTCTCTCTATAAAACCTGTTTATGCCTTGAGAATTTGTCCAATTCTTGCTTTCTGGCTCCACGCCCTCCTGGACAGGGACCTCAAGGACAGCAAGTCCATGAAGAGATACTAAAGGGAATAGACATGCCACCCCTATCTCACGGTTATGGGTGTCAGTGCAGTAAGAAGAGTGTGTTTTGTACAGACAGTTGGGCAGGCTCTCCTGCTTTCCCTAGATAGCATCCTATGGCCACTGTCAGAGCTGAAATACTGGACTAGGTGAAACACTGCTGTAACAAAATACTGCATTTTTGTATCTGAATTCTGAAAATCAGCTGGTTTTGCAAACGAAACCTTTGCATTTAGGTAGTACGTCGTCTGCTTTGTTCTATTTCCCAGTCTGGCCAGCAAACTGGAAAAATCAGTTATTCTCACACTCCTAGTTAACTCCCACAGATGAGGAGCTTGATAACTGAATGAGAGAACGTCAGACCTCGCACTCCTAAAGCAAATTTCTTTCCAGGAGCTTTGGTTTGTCCAATTTCCACATCAAAACTGACAAGAGCTGAAGAACTTCCTGATGTTTCTTAGATGGAAAGCTTTTGCCTTAGGACTCGTGTAGGTCTTCAAGTGATAAAGAGAATAGATGCTTTAAAATCCCTGAGAGACTTGCTGGGAAAGTTTGGCCGGGATATTTGAAGCAAGAGGTTTGGAGGTCAGAGTAGCTCAGGTTCCACATGCAGAACTCTGAGCTTGCAGTTTTCTGCCATGGGATTTAAATAAATGTTCCTCAAGCAAATAAAATGTTTTTAAAAGCCTTTTCCTACAATGCTTTGGCCTCACAGAGGAAGGGCACCAGATCCTGGTGAAGCTTCTGTTCTGCATCTCCTTTTGGGCAGGATGGCTGTAGTATATCAGAGTTTGACAGTTGATAAACCACCCTGATAAGGAAACCTTTGTAGCCTGCGTTGGATGTGGGGAGGTGGGCTGTGAGACTGACAAAGGAGGAGCCTGCCATGAGTGCCCAGTGGGGCTTTTCAACAGTTCGAACTTTCCTTCCCCTGGCTCTCCTCTCTTCTTTTCTCTCCCTGGTGTGGGAGATTTGATAGGTTACAGAGCACTCCTTTAAACTTAAATATGGGAGCCCTGTTTGTCTGTGGAAGAGATACGGTCGTTGTATGCGTCTGGCTGGGGACTCCTGGTAGAACACCCCAGTAATGAGCAATTATCCTAATGCTGCACCACTGCGAGCTTGCTTCTTGGCTGTCTGCAATGTTGTGTGCATTGGAGAAGTCTTCTTGGGGCTAAAGGTCTTGGAGTTGTGAGGTTTCCTCATCCCTTCCTATTGCCTCTTCTCAGGTCCCGTGCAGTTCTGGTGTCAGGATCTCCCTTGTGTATTTTTAAACTCTTAATATGTTGCCTTGGTAAAAAAATAAAAAATAAATGGGGTAGCAGGAAGAGAGAGAGGGGAAAAAAATATTCTATGCCATCCAGGAAATACCCACAGCTCCTCAGCAGCTGTTTTGCTCGAGTTTGCCAACACCAGCCGCATCACTTAACCCAAGATTAGCTCACAGCAGGCGGTGGACTGTGGAAGGCAGCAAACACATTGCGAGGCCATGGTGAGGCGTAGCATCTCATTGCTTTCCAGTTTTGGCTCCTTTAGGTCATCTTTGGGTGGGGATGGGTGATGACACCCCTGCGTGACTGTCCCCTTACGTGTTTCCACAGGAGGTCAGCGCCCTGCTGTATAGACCCAGTTGCTCAATTGCTGTATTTTCAAACCAAGACCATCACAGCCAAACTGTTTGCTACTCGGGTCTCTCCAGCATCATCTTTAGAAATGTCCAGCCCTAGGACCAAAGCAGTTTTTCCTCACTTCCCCAGTATATATTTTGTTCTGCCTGTGGCGTGAGCACCCCAGAGAACAGGGACTCTGTGGAGACCACATCGTCATGTGTGCTTCTGCCTGGGCCTTTGCCCTGTCAGTGTCGTTGCTCACATCATATTTCTCTTTCTGCTCAGGTGAGAGCCAAAAGGACTTTGAGTGAGCTCTGCAGCTCTCCTTTGGATCCTACTTCTAAGGGGTTTCGGGGTGAATGACAGGAGTAACGTGGAGGCTCTGTCTTGAACCCTTTAGTAGCTCTTAAGAGAACATCTTTCTGCCAGCAAGGAGGGTATGTCGGAATCTGTTTGGATCTCAGAATAGAAGTTTCTGCCTCAAATATGGGAAATGGTTATTCCAGATCATTCTGTCAACAAGGGAGAATGCATGGCTAAACATGAAACTCACTTTTTCTCCCCCTTTAAATACAGTACGTTAACAGAAATGTTAACGGCGGGAGGAAAAAAAATAGCTGTTACGTCACAATGACTGTAGCATGTGGCTTGTCAAGCAAAGAAAGGAACGAGTACCCTGTTTGAGTCTGAATTCTGGACTGTCACATCATTTAATACATTCTTCAAAACGGAAAACGGCCCATTTAATGCAACTTAAGCCTGTGCTTGGCAACCTGGAGAGAGGGTGGGGAAGGAGAAGGGAGGGGCGGTCAGGTCATAAAACCTAAAGGAAACTGCATGTAAAATGTTCTCTTAGTGAACCTGGGCCAGATCTCGCGGTGCTTGTCTATCTCAAACCTCCCAGAAGGATTTTTCAGGAAAAAAACCCCTTTGTGATAGAGTCCTCCTACTCATTTGGAGCGCAATTCAGGGGAATGCCACATCATTTTTCTATCTTTTGATAAGCTCCAGGAAACGTAATTCTGATACTTTTAATTTAGCTTGTCTTGCTAAAGGGTACACTTAAGACATGTGTTGATAATGATCTTTCCAGCTTCTGTCTGCCAGAGCATTTATTGCCAGCAGATCTAGTTAGCAGTAGATCCCAGCATTCCGTCATCTTTAACGTTAGCAGGAATTGGGGTGATTTGCTATGGATTGCAGCTGGGGTCGATATCTGGGTCATGCCAGGGCTCTGCACGCTTCTCTGCCCGGGTGAATTGCACAGAAGTCAAGGAGCAGACAGCCGTGAACAAGCCCTCTAAAGCCTTTCTAGGAGCCAGATGTGCTGCCTTGTCAATGGATTTCTCTGAAAGCAGCATTTTGGAATATGTGGACTGTGATGGACCTCATAAATTATCTCATTTTTGATTTTTTTCCAGGACATATCCTTCTATTACAATGGGGAATCCTGAAACAGGAAACAGAGAGAGCTTCTTCCATGCGATTTTTAACCTCTAATCAGGCAATGAACGAATTCTTAAGTATTAGACGATGAGATAAGAGGCCTGTGTACTGCATGCCATCTGAACTTCCAGAATTTGTCTTAGTTGGCTTGGATCACGGATCACACCCCCTTGAACTGACCTAAATAGCCAAGACAACAAAGTGGACTAGGTTAATGCTTTTAAATAGCATCAAAATGCAGTCAGACAACATATTGCAATTTGAAATCCCCGCTGGACTTCAGTCCTGATTTGAACTCATTGCATTAAAGAGAAAGGGTCAGTGAAGGTGTCCAGACCATTGTGGTGCAGGGGGCTGCTCAGGCTGTTGGTGTGACCCTGCCCCCAGGACCTGCTCGCCTCGTTGTTGTCTCCTGTCCCCTGTGAAACAAGGGGCCGATGCCAGTTGTGTGGCAGGGGACAGGTACCTGCGTCCGTGGGAATGATGTTGGAGCTGGCACCTGCCTGTCAGCCCATCTGGCATCCTCAGAAGCAGGGCCAAGGATCAGACAACAGAGAACAAGCTGCCTTCACTCTTCCCTGGCTGAAGATGAAAGCGCACTGATAGAGGGCAGGGAAGGAAGTGTGCACGGTTGGTGCCTGTGTTGTCTTTGTCCTGTGGGTAAATAGACAAAAACCATCTCCCGTGCTGCTCTCAAGCAGTTATTTCCAGTCCTTGGGTGTTCAGTCATCAAATAAACCTTTGGGTTGGTATTCATGGGCTGTATTTCCACTCAGCCTATCTGGCTGTCAAAGCAGGATCCTGTGTTCCAAGGACTTGACATCATTTTTGCATCCTTATGAGCGAAATCGGGTTGTTTAACCTCAGCCGCGTGTATTGAGCCATTGCTTCCAGCTGTGCAGAAACTTTCCAGCAACTTTTTGCCTTGACCTCTTCAGGCTGCTGGTCCACGACCCTGGCAGCGTTCACTTTGGTAGTGGCACTCGCATCCAGGGTAGAGTAGCTAATCAAGAGAGGGTGGTCAGATCAAGGATGCTGAGATTTTTCTCAACCCCTTATTATTCTGACTTCCAAAAGTTTCTTTGCACTTGAGTTTCTCACATGCTTTTTGGACCCTTAATGTAATACTCCACCAGAGAACAAGCTGGTGGAAAGCTGGCGTGACTCAGATGCCTGGCGGTAACTTGCGAAGCTGCCGTAACACGTGTGCGTTTCTGACATCTTTCATCTTTGCGTCCCCGAGGCCTTTGATTTTTATCTTCACCTTCCTTTCCCATTTCTCCCTGTGTCTTTATGCCTTTTCTCTCCATCCTTTACCTGCACAAACTGTTCTTCCCAGGAAGAGACCTTTGCTTGTAGTGCCAGAGGCTGGCTGATGCGCTGCCTATCCTCTTTTCTCCAGCAAAGTGGGGCAGAAGATGGGACTGTACTGCTGGGAAAGTGCTGAAAGGCTTCTCACCTGCTGTCTGGTGGCAGATGGTTTGTGAGGAGCGTAGCCATCACAAAAAGGAGCTTGTGAAATAGAAAGTGCACGTGTTGAATTTGACCCAACTTTGTCTGCCTGCTTGCAGAGGGAATAGCAGTTTTTCATACAGCACTAGAAAAAGGAATCCTTGCAGTACGTGGTCCCAGCTCTCATCTCCATAATTTCGAAAATAATTGTCGCTGGTGGAATCCTTTCTCTGAGCCATTTGGTATGAGCTCCACCAGCTCTGCGGTGAGGTTTGCCGGATCTGAACATCAGTGGGCTACCACGGCAAAAAGCCCGCAGGAGTGGGGCTGGGCAGCCACGGTGCGTAGTTAAACGTTGTATATTAAAGAGCTATTTATAAGTGATTTATATATTCTCGGTGGTGGCCTTGGCAGTGGCTGCAGAAGAGGTTACCGCTGTTGCCCGCAGCGTGGTTGTTACAAGGTCGAGCTGTGTTTCTGGTCGTTGGCACCGGCCAGCGTTTGCATGCACAGTCATGGCAACTGCACACACAAGTCGGGGATCGCTTGCCAAGGCGATGCTGTCCATAGGTTTTGTATTAAAATCTGGCACGAGGCGCTCCCGATCGAAAGAGGCTCTCCCTGAATAGCCTCAGGAGTCAGATCTGTGTTTCTTCGTTTTTCGCTTGCACATATTTGTATACAAAGTGATTCGAACAAAGCGTTATCGTTTTATAACTCCTGTAACTCCACTGTGAACTGGTATTTTAAACTGCATTTGTACTCTTAAATCCTGGCCCTGCGTGCCCCTGCTCACACGGTGTTGAACGCAGCCACGCACCTTCAGGAGCTGTTGCGGTTGTACAAGGGTGGCAGCAATGGTTTAATTTCTCCCTCTCCCCTCCACTTCCTTCTGTCTCCATTACCCTCATCCCTTTCCTGGCCAAACTGGTAACTTTGGGATGAAAACCACCGTGGCAAAAGGTAAAGAAAAGTCTTTGCACGCTGTACGTATCGGAAGCACTTGGCACCTCTGAGTGAGAAACCTTCTTGTTGACTTAGCTGATGAGAGTATCCAAACTTTGATCTGCTAACCTGTTCGAACCTCAAACTGCAAAACACAGGTTGAGGTTTTTTCAGCGGGCACAAATGCCACGAGTCTCTCATGTGCTGAATTCACCGGTTGTGCTTTTCTTTCTGGATTTGAACAGGCTGCTGAACAATAACCAGATAAAACAAATTGCGAGAAGATCCTTCGAAGATCTGGAGAACCTGAAATACCTGTGAGTTGGGAGCTCAGTAATTTCTTTACCTCTTTGAAATTTAACAACCCGTTCTAATGTCTCTGCCAATCGGGGATGTATTTTCTGTGCTCAATTTCTGGGTGTTAATGGCGCAGTTATAAAACGTTGCCCTTGAATTCAGTCGGCAAGCTGTGCTTTGGGTTAGGTTCAGAGCTCTTTCCTGTGTCGCTGTAAAACATGATTGCTGAGCAGTTAGTCTAATGCTTTGTTTTGTTCTTTCCTTTTGAAAGCTACCTTTATAAAAACGAAATTCAGAGCATCCAGCAACATGCCTTCAACGGGCTCCGGTCTCTGGAACAGCTGTAAGTACAAACGAGCCTTGTTTGTTGCCGAGTGTGACGTGCCTAAGAGCTGATTTATTGGCTCCTCTAACCCCAGTGCTGTGTTTCCAGTAGTGGAGGGTACCAGACACTTAGCAAGGAGTAGGATGAGGCTTCTGCTGTTTCATCATCCCGCTTTGCAAGACTACGCTGGCTCACTCTGAAAACAGCTGGTCCCAGTACTGATTTTGGTTAGTTAATGCTGGGGTCTCTTCCTACTGACGTCCCATATGTTTTCTTCTGACTCTCAACCTCTGGAGCATAGGAAGAGCCCAGCTGTGCTTCTGATTCCCTTTACATCCAAGGACCTCACGATGGGAGGAGATAGGGGTCTGTAGGATGGCTTGAAGCAGAAGGGCAGCTGGCCTGCTGTCTTTATGTCTGCTGGGACTCCTGGAGCAGAGAGTGGGATCTGGCCCTTTGCTTGAATTGAGGGTGTTGGTCGAGTTTCCCTCTTATCCAAACCTTTGCTGAAAACGAAGGGCTGGAGTGCAGGCTGAGAGTATTTGTGGGAGCAGTGGTGGTGCTCACGTGCTGTAAAGCATCTGGAAACTGCAGCGGGGGGAAGATGATGGATCCAAACAAAGTAATGACCTTCCCACCAAGCTGCGTGGCAGTCTGGGATGAGTGAGCCTCGTGTGTTTTCCTGGCAGCTGGAGCCCATCACAGTGACATTCCAGCAGTCCTTACTTGCTCCCCTTCCGCGTATGGCGAATCTGTGCTGTTCATTCAAAGAAGTTTTGGGGTTTGTCTCTTAGTGCTCCATGCTCAAGGTGAGATGGGAAGACTGAGGTCTGACCCTTCTAAAGCATCTTGCTAAACTGGGATTGGATTTTTCATGCCAGGGGTCGTGATATATTATGTGCCTGTCTGTAAATGCACGTGTGCTTGTGGAGAGAGTGTGAGTGTGGAGATTTGAAGTACAGGAATTATTTTTATGGTTGGAGAACAGGGACCAAAGGTGAGACTGTTCTAATTCATGGATTGTCCCCAGAGGCAGCGTTTGTAGGGCTGGAGTGTAACGAAGGATTTTGCCATAAAAGGGATAGGATCCGGCTCGTTCTCCAGGCTGACAGCAGAAGTGGACAGGGTATAACTGGAAGTTTCAGGCAAGCTTAATAGTAGGTGTGCTACCAGCCTTGTGTACGGTGTTTTTTCATCAGCCAGCTCAGCAGGGATGCCTGGGAGAAAACATAGGGAGCAGATACCAGCTCAGCTGTGCTTAGAGAGGAGGTGATGCTGGCCACAGTGATATTTTAACAATGAGCGTTCCAGACTTGATGTCACGAATAAAAGAAAAAAAAAAAAAAAAACACACCACACAAAAACCAACAAACCCACAAAACCAACAAACAACCCACTGAAAGTCCCATCTGTTTTCAATCTGGGGCAGGCGTGATTCCAAAAGAATTAGCTTTGCTCAAATCCTACCCCGTTTTCCTGTACCCCACAAGCCAGCTTTTCAAGAAAAACTATAACCGGGTTGATGGACAGTATCAGATGCTTTCCTCAAGGTCCAGAGCAACGACAGCAGACATCTGAGACTTATTAAAGCACATACGTCTCTCCCCACTGTTGCCCTCCACTGCAGAATCTGAGTCATTGTCTCTCGGTTTGTGCTCTGATAGCGGAGCATTTATCATGAATCCTTCCATTACAAATCAAACAGCCATGTGGCGGCGGCTTAGGCAATTATTCCTCAACGCAGTCAGTGACAATAGCAGAACGAGTATTTGTAGATCCGTGATTAATCGGTGTCTGCTGTGAAACTTATGCCTGTGTAACGGTAAGGAGGAAGAGTTGAGGCAACTTTGAAAGCAACTGAAACGCATCTAAAGGTCAGGAACGTGTCAGTTATGCCGGTGGATGTCACAGCTGATGGGAACAGGGAGTCTCAGGTATCGGGGTGTGTGGCTCTGCCCATCCCAGGTTTTCTTTGCTGATGTCCAGGGGTGACCTGGGACAGTGCGGGAGGTTTCCCAGGTCATGCCTGAGGTTTTAGTGGAACTAAAAATATTAACTTGAATTAGCAAGAACTGGGCTGTTTGGGGTCGTGTGTCATTTAGGCCCAAGTATCCAGCTGACTGAACCACCTCTGTCTTTGGAGACTATGCCTTCCCTCCGCAGAAACAGAATAGCCTGGTGACAGCTGTTTCCAGATGTTTCTGCTCTTGCTGGGTGGATGCACGTGCTGGGAACCTCTGTTAGAATCACAGACAAATGCAGACTGGAGGAGACCTTTGGATATCTCCAGTCCCACCTTCAGCCGGACCAATTCCAGAGTTTTATCAGGTTGTTCAGGGCCTTTTCTTACAAATTAATTCTCAGCAAACTCATGATCCCACTCAGAAATATTGCAATTCCTAGGCTGGGATAAAGGTGCCTTGTAGTAAGGCTGTTTCTTCCTCCTCAACGATCCAAGGATGTGCT